GATAACCACTAAATCATCATTAGTTATATTGTAAAGTGAGGAATTTAAGTACTATTATAATGAAAGCTATATCATTATTTATAATGTGTATATATCATGAAAAATAAAGAAATAAAAGATGAAAAATGTAAAATATTTACAAACCAATTAATTTCATAATAATAATAATTTTTAAGTTTGAGTTATGAATGCAAACAAATACTTTTAATAAATAAAAGTTATTAAAAATGTTTAAATATTATATAGCTCAAATTGCCTTAGTCTAATTTAAAAAAGATGTTTCTATAAATAAATTTAAATTTCAATATTTACATGTGAATAGACTAATCGGTAGCATGGATATCAAAATATCCATAATTTAAGTGAATTGATAGTATTAAAAAAGTGGGGGGATAGCATTAAAAAGGTCGTAGCAATCGACAACATTCCCAAGAATCTCAACAATAAAAACGAGTGTGGGGTGTGGGTGCACATCTGTTTCTTGGAAGGGAGAAGGTGATGCCAGGCGTGCAGCTGCTATTGGGTGCTGGAAAAAGAGGATTTGATTTCGATGCCCCCACCTCAGCTCGCATCGTTATCGCGTATGGTTGGCTGACCCAACATTTCCGCGACGACCGGATGACGTGGCAAGTCAGGAGCCATGGCTTTTTTGTTTAGTCATTAAAGCTGGAGAAATAGGAACCACTAGTTCGAGTGGCGAAGATCCAAGGGCGTCTTTGATTGATGAGAATGGTATTGGTCCATTGCTCCGTCTGTCTGTGTCTGTCTTTTTTTCACTTTTTTTTTTAAAAAAAACAATCATTGCCTTATATTCATGTCTACATTACCTGAATTCTCCATTTCATCCTCACCTATCCATTGATACAGACCATTTGTCCAGAAGCAGAACTGGGATAGAATGGTCCAATCAAGTCTTTTTTTTTTTAAGTATCTCCAAAATATAACCCAAAAGAGGATAAAAAAAAGGCAATTTGAAAAGAACCAGAGCCAGACAGCCAGTGAAATCATACTCCTATTACCGTACCATAATAAAAAATGAACTTTTAAACAAAAAGAAGAAAAATCTATCTTCCTATATAATTTCCTAAACTCAGATACTTAATCTATTCTTCAAACCTAATCCGTACCCAGATCCAGCCCATGTCTAACACTCCTGTAAACCCCAACAGAAGACTCTCAGCTGCCATGGAGAGAACCGGCCAGTGGTAATAATTAATCCTTCAAAACCTCCAACAAATTAGTTAATTACTTCTCCTATTTAGATTTTCTTTTTTGGTCTGTTGAATTGTTATGTAATATTACTTAACCATGTACACAAATCCTGTTTTAGGGTTTTCTCTCAAGAAATTCCGACTGATGTTGTGGTTGAAGTTGGTGAAGCCAAATTCTCTCTACACAAGGTGAGACTGACGATATAAATATTTTTTTTTTCCTTCTCATCTATGCGTTTACATACATACATATTCTCTCATTAAGCTCTGAAATTGTATTGCTTCGCTTGCATCAAAACAGTTCATGCTGGTGGCCAAGAGCAACTCTATTAGAAAACTAATTATGGAATCCAAAGGACCGGATCTAACAAGAATCAATCTTTCCGATATTCCTGGAGGTCCCGAGATCTTCGAGAAGGCCGCCAAATTCTGTTACGGTATCAATTTTGAGATCACCGTCCACAACGTCGCCGCTCTCCGCTGCACTGCAGAGTATCTCCAGATGACCGATAAGTACTGCGATAACAACCTTGCCGGCCGTACTGAAGATTTCCTCTCCCAGGTTGCCTTGTCCAGCCTTTCCGGCGCAGTAGTCGCCCTTAAATCCTGTGAAATTCTCCTTCCCATCGCAGAGGATCTTAAAATTGTACAGAGATGCATAGATGTAGCGAGTACTAAGGTAATTGAGTCTAATTATTAGTTGCACACACAAATCCCCTCATCAATACAGTATATGAATTGAATTGATTTTGAAATTGTTCTCGTGTTTAGGCCTGCAGCGAGGCCAATTTTCCCTGCCGTTCCCCACCCAACTGGTGGACGGAGGAGCTCTCCATCTTGGACATTGAGTTCTTCTCTAGAATCATTGCTGCCATGAAACAACGCGGTGCAAAATCCTTAACTCTGGCCAGCGCTCTTATTACTTACGCAGAGAGATGGCTTAAGGATCTAGTACGCGATCACACCGGCAACGGTACCTCATGTTCCGCCCGAGATGATTCTGATCTTCGAGTCCAACAACGTCAACTTCTTGAGTCCTTAGTTACTCTATTACCCGCCGAGAAGTATGCTTTTACGATCCACTTCCTCTGCTGTCTCCTCCGATCAGCAAATTTCCTCAAAGTTTCAGGATCTTGCAAGAACGAGCTGGAGAAACGGATCTCTGTGATACTAGAGCACGTAACTGTTGAAGATCTTCTGGTCTTGTCCTTCTCTTACGATGGCGAGAAGCTCCTGGATCTGGAGAGCGTGAGGCGGATCATTTCCGGATTCGTGGAGAAAGAGAAGACCATGGCTGTTTTCAACGGAGGTGATTACAGGGAGGTTTGCTCTGGTGCGATGCAGAGGGTTGCGAAGCGGTTGGACGCCTATCTAGGCGAGATCGCAACTTGCACCGACCTCAGCATCTCCAAATTCAACGGAATCGCCAATCTCGTCCCTAAAGGAGCCAGAAAAGTGGAAGATGATCTTTATCGCGCCATTGACATCTATTTGAAGGTTTAAATTAGAAAATTTTATTTTAATTAATTAATTAATTAATTTCATCATCAATCAAGTCTGTATATATATATATATATAACAGTGCTACTCATATACTAATTTATTCCTCCATATGCATATACAGGCACATCCGAATCTTGATGAGATAGAGCGAGAGAAGGTATGCAGCTCCATGGATCCGCTAAAGCTATCGTACGAAGCCAGAGTTCATGCTTCACAGAACAAGAGGCTACCAGTGAACATCGTGCTACATGCCCTGTACTACGACCAGCTGAAGCTAAGGAGCGGTGACACGGCGCCAGATGCTATAACGACGAGGAATCAGTTACAGGCAGACGTGTCGCTGGTAAAGGAGAACGAGGCGTTGCGATCGGAGCTGATGAAGATGAAGATGTACATCTCGGACATACAGAAGAATCAAGGTGCAGCTGGGACCACTTCAAAAGCTAGAAAGACAACATTCTTCTCCTCTGTGTCTAAGAAACTGGGGAAGCTAAACCCCTTCCGCCAAGGCTCAAAGGACACATCCCATATTGAGGATGCCGCTGGTGGGGATGTGGAGGTTCCCAAGCCTAGGAGGAGGAGGTTCTCCATATCCTAGAACTACTCTTACGTTCTGTTCATTGCTGCTTTAATTTTTTTTCTGCTTACAAAAATAGCTAGTGTGTTCATTAGAAATTAATTAGGAGCTACGTAGCTAGTGGATCTTTCATGTATCACTCCTATGGATGGCTCTGCTTTTATGTATTTGTGTGGGATTTTTAATCATTCCTAAGATTGTCAAATCCTTTTTGGTTTCGGCCGATGGGAATGTATATTTGTACCCTGCAAGGGGAATAAATTAACAGTAATCCTAAGATTATTGGTGATGTATGTTACACTTTTAGTTATTTCTTCAATACCAATAAAACAGTACTCATGTTCCTCAAAATTAGCTTTTCATCCCCATAATTAACCAATGTTTAAAATAAATAAATAAAAGATGAGTCTCTATGCTCCTGATGCATTTACAATGTTAGCTGACTGATTTGCTTGAGTTGTGTCTCAGGACACCAATTCTGCCCTTCCCTTTTCGGTAAAACTACATCCAGTCAAAATAAGTTGTCGTTTCACAGAAACTCTAATTTTAAACACGAGAGTTATAAAAATAGGAAAATTTTAGAGCCGGGATCATCAGAATCTTGGTGATGACACTGATTTCACTCGCTTCTCCCTAGATTAGATTTAGATGAGATTAGATGTTGTTGGATACATGATTCGAGGGGCAAAGATAAGTATAATTTTTTTTGTTTTTATAAAATTTACATGTAATATTATATAATAATTTGACTATTTTCAATCTATTAAAATTCATAATATTATATTATCTCTTATACTTGTAAATTATAACTAAAAGTAGATTATAAATAAAAATGGTTAAAAAAATTGCATATCATTAGGCTAAGTAATATTATATCTCTTTTAACAGCATAATTGCTATGGATTAAGAAAAATAATTAACTTACAATATTTATTGATGGCATCAGTTTTTAAAAAATTAATTCAAACTAACTGATTTTAAAGTTGTAGTGTGTCATATATTTATATCATTTCATTACTATTCAAAAAAGTATATATATATATATATATATATATATTAGGGGCTGTTGCATATGAGGCCAGTGAGTAAATCCGAGTGATAATTATTTTTGAAATTCTTAAACTTTCGACTACTAAAAGTTAAGCATATTCAATATTCATAGGCTGAAAAATTGGATCAACCTAGATAGTTAGTCCGACATTTTCATGAATGCAGCCTTCAGTTCTGAGTCTTCTTACCTTAAAGGGCATGTTTGGTTATCATATTATCTGGATAAATAATTCAAGTAGCTAGAGCTTGACTTGATTTAAGAAAATAAATTTTTTAACACAAAAATTAAGGTGTAACGTCATTAGTTGTGGAAGGAAAGATAATACATTATTTTTGTAATATAATTGATTGTCTTGAGAAATAAAAGTGGTCATATCATGCATTATTTTTCCTTTTACAACTAATTACATTGCACCTTGATTTTCATGTCAAGAAAGATATTTCAAATTCCTTTTTCAGATAACATGATAACCAAACAGGTCTTAGAGATATTTGGGCTGTGGTTGTACTGATAATTGATGAGTTTAGTTTCTGTTGGTCAGTTTCTCAAATCGGGCTTTTATTAAAGTCGCCCAAAAGGCCCAAAAGCAACAATGTCGGTTCGGTTTGGAAGATGCAACTTTACCTTTAAACCCGACACCCCTCCCTATCCTTTCTTGTTTCTCAATCCAGAATTGCAGAGGGATAAACAGAGCAACAATGGCGGCTTCAGCGATGTTGGTAGACCCTAAATCAACCATGGAACCCCCTCCTTCATTCCCCTCCACCGGATCAGATCCTACTCGCTCCTTCAATGACGCAACTTCCGACGAGGATGATCTCTATAGCCGTCTCAAATCCCTACAGCGACAGCTCGAATTCATCGACATCCAGGAAGAGTACGTTAAGGACGAGCAGAAGAACCTCAAGAGGGAGCTACTTCGGGCTCAGGAGGAGGTCAAGCGGATCCAATCGGTGCCTCTTGTCATCGGCCAGTTTATGGAGATGGTTGACCAGAACAACGGCATAGTTGGCTCCACTACTGGCTCCAATTACTATGTCAGGATTTTGAGCACCATCAATCGTGAGCTCCTCAAACCGTCTGCATCTGTTGCTTTGCACAGACATTCCAATGCTCTTGTGGATGTGTTGCCTCCAGAGGCTGATTCCAGCATCTCTCTGCTTAGCCAGTCTGAGAAGCCCGATGTTACTTACAACGTGAGTTTAATTTTCTTTTCCACTTTCCTTATTGCTTCACTTTACTTTCGAAACGTATTGAATGGGATTCGCAATGAAAAATTAGGATTTATCACACAGTTTATTGCCTGAAGTACTCTGGCAAACTCTGTACTTGCTTGCTTGATTCAATGATACAAAGTGGAAAGGGTTTTTAGATTGTGGAAGCTTTTTATTTCGTTGCGTTTTTGCATTGCTGAAAAAAAAAAAAACCGATGTTTAAGGCAATATGTTCTTGAACATTGAGAAATCAGACTGGCGCATTTTATAATTTTGCTGTTTATTTCGGCAGAAAATTATAAGGTGGTGGAGAGGGAAAGAATTGAAACAGATCTACATATGTATTCTTTTTTTAACTTCTCTTAAGTATTAAGCTGGATTGGTAAACTGAAACAAATTTTGGGTTAAATTTTACAAAGAGGGAATTGGCCAAATGACTGTCCTTGGTGATTAAGTCTATCCATATGCCTCATTAGCTCATTTAACTTGCTATTGGACCAAGTAGTAATATTTAATGCTATAATTTGTCAGAAGTCTTAGCTTGTGAAATGGACGCTTGGGGCATAAAGTTTACTCCTTTCTAGTCTCTTACTTAGCATCTGGGTAGATAAAGTTTTTATTATAAACTATTGGCTTGTGCTTGTGGTCTTTATTGTTTTAAAATGTTATGTTTAGTGCATATTTTGTTATTGTGAGCACATTAACTTAGCTTAAGCATATGAGTTCTTTAACTTGAGCTGTTATCACTATCCTTTGTAAGTTTTCCCTGAACCACATGGCTGTTAAGACAGAGGTCAATACCTTTGAGCTCAGCTCATACGATTGGCCTAAACTTGTGTGGCTTTTGCTTTTATGTGTATTGTACTATCAAATGATCCATCATTTCTATATTTTAAGTCATTAAGTGTTGTTAATAAGGTTTCTCTGTATCATCATTGTACTAGAGGTGCTCATCTCATGGTAACATAAATTAGCTTCCTAACTTCTCTTTGGTGATATAGAAGTATTAGAAATTATGGAAGATGCTGGGTTTGAATTCACAAGGTTTACTTATTTTACATACCCACCCAAATCATGGCAGAATTGAAATTCATTGTTTCTGCAATTTCTTCAAAAGTTTATGTTTTTTGTGTTTTGTTTTACTTCCTGAGACTTTCTCTTATTCTCTTTAGGATATTGGAGGATGTGACATTCAAAAGCAGGAAATTCGTGAGGCAGTGGAGTTACCACTTACTCACCATGAGCTGTACAAACAGATTGGAATAGACCCTCCTCGAGGCGTTTTACTCTATGGTCCCCCAGGCACAGGGAAAACCATGCTGGCTAAGGCTGTTGCAAATCATACAACCGCTGCCTTCATTAGAGTTGTTGGCTCTGAATTTGTTCAGAAGTACTTAGGTGAGGTATGTACTCTGCATCCATGTTTTTGTTTTTACCATTACCAATGTCATAAATTATGATTGGACTTCTTTAACCAAAGGGAATCAACTGCTTCTGGAATCTATTGTGCTTCTGTTCTCCTGTTTCAGGGCCCGAGGATGGTTCGAGATGTTTTTCGTCTTGCCAAAGAGAATGCCCCTGCTATCATCTTTATTGACGAGGTAGATGCCATTGCCACTGCTAGATTTGATGCCCAAACTGGAGCAGATAGGGAAGTTCAGCGAATTCTTATGGAACTATTAAATCAGGTATGCCTGAGAAAATTGAGGTGCTGGTTGGAGAAAATAAAGATTACCCTATCCTTTTGATTCTCTTTTTAAACTATTTCTTCTATGATCAACTTCTCTAGATGGATGGATTTGATCAGACAGTGAATGTTAAGGTCATAATGGCAACCAATCGAGCAGATACTTTGGACCCTGCCCTTCTCCGTCCTGGAAGGCTTGACAGGAAGATTGAATTCCCTTTGCCTGATAGAAGGCAAAAAAGGCTTGTTTTTCAGGCAAGTGCTTGTTAGATTGCCACCTTTTTTATGTCTTGAGAACCTATACCAACTATTTTTTCCTGGTATTTAACATAACTATCTAAACATTTCACTGTGTTTTTATGATATGTGATGTGTTTAAGCTTGCCCTTTGGTGTTCAGGTCTGCACTTCTAAAATGAACCTAAGTGATGAAGTGGATTTGGAGGATTATGTTTCACGACCTGATAAAATTAGTGCTGCTGAGGTTAGTCACTGACTTATATTACAGCTGGCTTTTCTGGTAGTTGAATTAGAGTTACCTTTTGTGGTGTTATTTATAATCTGTAGGACATTGTTATGAAAAGAGTTGAAGAATCTAGGAAAACAAGAGAATTAATTTGTATCATACTCATTTTGCTTGTATGATTAGGAAACAGTAAGTTAACAACT